CCTTGCAGAGGTGGGGAAACTGAGGCAGAGGAGGGGCAGAGGGTTTCCAGGGTCACGTGTCAGACTGGAGGCCTGTGATGTGGATGTTCACACTTGGGGCCAATGTGAAACGAGCGGCCCCAGAATTAATGGGAAATACCGGGATGGGGGTCACCCGCCAATAAGGCCCTCCTGTCAACAGACACCTGAGAATACCTGTGAAGCCCCCTCCCTCCAGGCAGGGCCCAGCGGGGACTTGGGGTCCCAGGGGAGGGCCCAGGGAGCTGCGGCACCCATTGTCGGCCCCACACAGACAGGGAGGGCGGCTCCGCTCTGTCCCACCTGCCCAGGCCCAGGCTCCTCCCAGCTCTCCGTGCTCCCTGCCTCCGGCTGGGCTCCTCTTTCCCTCAACTTCCTGCCACACAGGGGCTGTATGCACCATGGGGGGTTCGGGGAAGAGTCAGACTTGGTCTCCGTTCTCAGATTGTTCCGGGGTTGCTGAGGAGTAGGAGAAAGAAAGGCTAGGTGTGCCCCTGGATCTCACAGGCAGAAAGCGACTGGAATCCTAAGAGAAGTGCATGCAATGCAGGTGGGACTTCTGTCTGGAAAGAGCCTGTCTGTATGGGATTGTGGGGTAGGAGCTGAGAGATTTATGGAAACCCTGACCCACCTTCATTTAAAAGTTAGGTGGAGTTTTCATCTAACAAAAATGGAGGTAAGTGCATTCTATGAAGGGGCTTCCAAGTGAGCAATGGTGCAGAAATGGGGCACAATCGATCAGCCCCATCTGTGAAGTTCCTACTGTGTGTCAGCCTCCAGCTGGCCACACTGCACACAACCCTGGCAGGCCGGCTCACTTACATTGTCTTGAATATGTGGAAACTGAGCTTCAGGGACTTCCAGTAAGCTGCTCAGCGTCGCACAGCTCCCAAACAACACACGTAAGACTAAAGTCCTGCTTTAATATATCCACTGAGGAACGTGTATAACAGTATTCAGAACAACCCAAATGTCCGTAAGAATGGATGGACTATGGGCTGGCACGGTGGCTCATGCCTCTAATCCCAGCACTTTGGGAAGCCGAGGCAGGCGGATCATGAGGTCAGGGATTTGAGACCAGCCTGACCAACAGGGCAAAATCCCATCTCTACTAAAAATACAGAAGTTAGCTGGGCGTGGTGGCGCGCGCCTGTAATCTCAGCTACTCAGGAGGCTGAGGCAGGGGAATCGCTTGAACCTGGGAGGTAGAGGTTGCAGTGAGCCGAGATCGTGCCGTTGCATCCCAGCCTGGGCAACAGGCTGAAGTGCTACTGTTCAGCCCCTCCTGTTTCCAGATGGGGCGTCACTATCTAGCACACCCAACAAGTACCTTTAGAGCTCAAGCATGTATTATGTTTCTCTCAAATTAGAAAGTCATCTCCCTGAGGGCAGGTACTTTACTTTCTTCATAGCTATATCTCCAGTGACTACAACTGTGCCTGGCCCATGGTAGGTGCTACACAGCTATTTGGTGAATGAATGAATGAATGGATGGGAAAATGAGAGAAGTCCCTAGTAAAGAAGCAAAGGACGTGGCCCTGGGGCCCATGGAGACGGTGCCATCCTTCCAGGTCACATGGCTGGCAAGGGCAGAGCAGGACCCGGGCCAGGTCCTGAACTCCCACTCAGTCCTGCTTCTCCCAAACCCAGAAGGCTCAGTTCATCAACATTCCTGTCCACGGCCACCAGAGACCATGGGAACAAATCTGTCTGGTGCAGGAAGGGATCAGGATGAAAGAGAAGATGCCTGCATTCTGGTCCTGGCTGGACTTCTCCCTGCTAGTCCTGCTTATGCCTCAGTTTCTCAATCTGGAACATGGGCACCTGCCTCTCTGCTGACGTGGGTGGAGGAGGATTTGGGAGGAATGCGCAGAGGTGGTCCTTCCTGCCATCCTTCCTCCCTCAGGAGGGACCAGGCCGGCCTGAGGCACTGGGGCCAGGGCATGGGTGGTGTTGTGAGAAGACGCCTCTGCCACAGAGCCACAGGGTCAGGGACGGGAGGCACCTTGCCTTTCTGATGCCATCACTGTAGAATGGACGAGAAAGCAGAGGCCTAGGGAAGGGAAGGGCCGCGGCCCGGGACATGCAGGAGTTCATGGCGGGCGCAGGCAGCACAAGAACCTGGGTCCTGCCTCCCAGATCAGGGCTCTCTCCTCCCTGAGCACAGAGAGACCAGGGACAGAATCCACCTGTTCCATCACTGTCCTGCCCAAGAAAGCCCAGGTCTACAGGCTGATATGGACGACAGGCCAGGCAGGGCCCCAGCTCTGCCCCAGCCCTGGCCTCCCAACGCAGGCTCTGAACATCAGGACGCAGGCTTGACTTCCTAAAGCAGGGCTCTGCACAGAGGTCTGAGCCACGGAGGGGGTCTGTGACAGCCCCACCCTCTGGGTCCCACGGGCTGCCATCAACAGTTGGGGCCTAGGGTACCAGGCCTGGCTTTTCGGGAGCCAGATGAGGCTGATAGGAGAGGTGGAGCAGGAGGGAGCAGGTGTGGGAGCGTGGGTGTGGGCAGTGACACCCCAGTGACCCTGTTATTAGATCCCGTGGTGGCCTCTGGGGCCACTGACCTTCAGGGGCCTCCAAACACGGAGAGCATCCTGGTATGTGGCTACCCCACCCTGCCACAGCCTCAGTAGTTGCCAGTTAAAGCTACTCTGAGAGAATTCCACTAGTGCAATTAGCACATCAGAATAAAGAAGGCCCTTCTGACAGCTGGCTGTGCCCACCCACAGCCTGGGCTTCCACTAACAACGACCTGCCTGTTAATCCCGCAGTGCTGGAGGCCTCGGGTCTTAATGAAACATGCAGAGCTGATGTGGGAAGAAGCTGGGCTTTGGAATCCACAGCTGTGGATTCACCCCAGATGTGCTGTGTGGCCCTGGGCTGGCCATTTAACCTCCCTGAGCCCATGGGCTGGCAAAACAGTCTCACATGAATGAAATGAGGAATTGTAAGGCTCTGAAAGTTCACGTGCTACTTTTCATTCCAAAAACAGGTACAAACACCTTTTGTTTGGCTTTTAGAATCTGTTTCTAGGTTTCACATGTGTACAAGACATATGGAGATGCTCCTGTCACCTCCGTACCAGGCCATAGCTGGGAGGGTCTGGGGCCAACAGAGGCCAGCTCCAGTTTCACCATCGGAGGGGAAAGGAACAGGCGTTCTGCTCCTCCCCTCTATCAACCAATCATACAACAACCTTGAGGACAGATCACCAGGCACCTCATTTTCCAAGGAGCAACCAAGGCTCAGAGAGGGTGAGGAACTTCCCTAAGGTCACACAGCAGGGGTAGCCACTGCCCAATTCATATCCACAGCCCCCACCAGGCTGTGCATGCCTTGACTCAGGGGATGCCAGGGGAGGTAGGATGTGAGCTGGGTGGTGACTCATTCTGATGGGTGGCTCCCGAGGGGACATTCTTGGGCGACTCCATCCATAAGTCTTCTTGGTCCTGCGCCCGGGGCCAGCCTGTCCTGATGACACAGCCCCAGCCCCAGTTTCACAGATGGTCTCCTCTGTCCCACATCCCCACCCTGTCCTCTAACTAGGAAGGTGGCATCCAGATCCCACGGGCCAGAGTCCTGTGCCTGGCACTGGCGCTCAGTGATGGTGAATGGCTGCCTCCTGCTGCTTGCCCCCCACCTCAGCCCACCACCAGCTCTGGGTGGCGGGGAACAGAGGCTCGGCCATGCCTTCTTCTGCCCTAGTGTAGGAAGCAAATGGCTGAGGGCCCCCACAAAACCTGCTGCTGCTCAGTGCCCTGGGTTCTTCGGCCCAGACTCCTCAGAAAGCTCTCTGCACCCTGAAAACCTGACCTGACAACAGAAGTGTCATCTCCTTGAGCACTGGATGGACAGTCAGGCTTCCTGGGTCCGTCCTGGCTCAGCCGCATAGAGGCTGTGCTATCCTAGGCATGGCGCTGCCTCTCTGAGCCTCACTGTCCTTATCTGGGAGATGGGGATGCAGACCGTGGCTGTTACCAGGGTTGCTGTGAGGATGGAGAATGAAAGATGCTGTCGGTGGAGGGAGGCTGGAGACCCGGGCAGGGACCCTCTTCCTGCTCTCAGCCCCACAGCTCCCCCACCTCAGGCTGAACTGTTGTCCTTGGCTCTCCAGACCCCGGCTTGTCACTTGCCACAGAGAGGAGGCAAAGCAGATGGGGGACCTGACCAACAGTCACTATACGACCACAGACCAAAGAGTTTAGCACTGCAAAAAAAATCTCTGAGCTCCTAAGGAGTAAATAGCTCCCGGGTTTGATAAAAGATGTTGGCAGACAGGAAAAGCCGGGCTTTGCCTGGGAGAACAAAGTGGGTCCAGCTGCCCACTGGGCCATTCCACAGGCCCAGACACTCACCCCACGCCAGGCCATATCCCAGGGGCTGGACCCAGGGTGACAAGGCCACAGTCCCTGCCCCACCGACCTGGGTCTGCTCCTTCCCCAGCCGCTCCCCTGACAGCCGCACCCCACCCAGGCTCCAAACAGGGAAGAACCTGCTGTGGACTCAGGGCACCGTGTCAGCTCTGGTCACTCTGATGATGTGACCACAGGTTTCCACGCTGAACTTTGGCCCTCTCCTCAGTACTGCCCTTATCACAGTGACAGCATCCTGGCCTTGTTTACTCACCTGTCTCCCCAGGACCAGGCTGTCTTCCTGGGGCTGCCCAGGTGGGCAAGACCATCACCTGATTCTTACTGCCTTCACCTGGGTGCGTTTGGGGCAGGTGAAGGCAGGGTGAACGGCTCCCCTGGGAGTCCACAGTTCCCCCCACTCTGCTCCTGACCACCTCGCAGCCCAGGGTGCCTAGGACTCTTAGACCTTCCCTGGCCAAGGCGTTCGCACTCCCCTGGGGGTCGCGTCCACCGCCTGTGACTCCCGGTTCGGCCAGGGCCCGGCACCGCCTGCGGAGGCACGCACTCTCCCCAGCAGCCAGCTCACTCCGAGGGTCCCCGCGGAGCGCCGGCGGCCGCACTCACCCATGTTGACGAAGCTCATGATCAGGTCGGCACGGCCCAGGCGCCGCTCCGGGGGCGCGCCGTCCTCGTCGTCGTCGCTGGCCATGGCGTGGTACAGGTCCAGCATGAAGAGCGGCGCGGACGCGGGCAGCCGGGAGGCGGCGGGTGGCTCGCGGGGCCGGGGCCGCCCAGGCAGCCCGAGCACAGCCAGGATCTCGCGCTGAACGTCCCGGCGCTCGCGGGCGCCCAGACGCCGCTGATGACAGCCGGGCGGGGGTCGCGGGCCGGGGCCGCCCCCGCCCAGCGCGCACAGCGCCAGGCCCAGGAGCCAGAGCGGGCCGGGGCGCGCGGCCATGGTGGGCCGGGGGTGCTCAGCGGGCGCGCATCGGCTCCGCGGCCGCCCCTGGGCCCGGGGACGCCCCGACGGCGAGCGGGGTGCTGGGCTCAGCGAGCAGCGGGACCGGGCGGGCGGCGTCCGCGGCCTCAGCGCGGTCCCCGGAGCGCCTCCCGCGCGGCACCTGCCCAGGCTCCCAGACGAGCGGACTCGGACGCCAGCGCCTCGAGGTCGGGGCTACTCCGCGGGCTGGGACTGTCCGCCAATCCGTCTGTCGCCGCCGTGCCCGCCTGTCTGGCTGTGGCCGCGGTCCGCGCAGCGCAGGGGCGACGGGCGAGCTCCGGCAGCGACCCGGGTGGTGAGATTCCCGCGAGTCCCTGCCCCTGCCCCTGCCGTCGGTGCCGCCCGCTCCCCCCCGTCCGACCAATGGGGGCGCGGGGGCGGGGCCAGGGGCGGAGGCCACGCCCGCGAGGGGGCCAGTGGCGGCGGCCGGTGTCGCAGGTGGGGCGACCAAGAGGTGCGACCTGGGCGTGGCAGGTGGGCGGCCGGGGCGAGGGGTCCGCAGCAAGGACGTCAGCGTGATCAGGGCCGTCGTGCCTCTGGCCGCGGGCCTCAGCGCAGAGATCCTAGGGCTGCAGCGCGGTCCCAGGAAAGCAGGACCCGAGTCCGGGTCCCCCCAGTGGTGCCACCCGGCCGCCCCGCCGTGGTATGCGGGGGTCGCCACCGGGCCCAACACGCGTCCGCAGCCCTGTCTGGAGGCCAGGAGGTACCAGCCAAGTCCCGAGGGTGGGGCACGTTCCTCTGCCCGCAGCAGCAGGCCCGGGTTCTGTCCACCACTGCCCCTCGCCGCCTTCTGGCTCCTTCCCCGCGGCCCCTGCGTGCGCTGCGACGGGCGCCTACTTCCCGGCATGGGCTCCGTTGCTCCTTCCCTCGCCCCCCACCTGGCTCCCTCTTGCACCGGGCAGTCCCCCAGGTGGGTCGCCCCAGCAAGCCCTCGCTGTACGCCCTGCGCTCCCGGTACTGATGCAGCTTCGCGGAGGAGACTTGGTCTCCTGCCTCCAGCCGGGCTAGGAGCTCTGGGGCCCTTCCCCAAGCACCTAGGAGCCACTCGTGGACATCTTCTCAGTGCCATGGCCCCGTGCAGGCCTGGCAGGAGAAGGATCCTTGCGGAAACGCCTGGACTGACTCAGCCCCTTTCTGCACACCCTGCTCTTCCCTGGGCGCGCTCTTGCCTTATTTATTCATGTGTGGTTCAGGCGCTGCAGAAGGGGAAGGCACCTGGTCTGCCCTAGGAAGGCTGCTGGAGTTGACCTGGAGCGCCAGGAAAGGTCAGTGGAGGAAAGTGCTCCAGGCAGAGGGAAGAGCTTGTGTCAAGGCCCTGAGACCCCGGGCCGGGGAGCCTAATAATGGCAGTTAACAGTCAGCACTTGCCACGTGCGAGGCATGTTCTAAGTGCGTGTCCCGTGTCATTTCTGTAATGCTCACACATTGTTAGGGGGTACACATTGTTAGGTATACCTCATTGTTAACAAATGAGGAAACTGAGGCACATAGCGGTTAAGGGACTTATGCCAGGTCACAGCAGTGGAACTGGACTGGGGCAGGTGGGCGGCTGCTCAGTGGAGCGTAGAGAGCCCAGGGGGCAAATGGCCGAGGCTGGAGGGACTGGCAAGGGAGAGACCGCAAAGGGTCCCTTTTTCCAGGGGTAGACAAGGGCCATTTTCCAGGGGCTAGACAACGGCCCTGGGCACCAGGGATTATGGTGACCTCCATGTGGATTGAAGATTAAACCTCCAAGCAAGTGTATAACGCCTACAAAATCACATTTTGAAGGCATCACTTCAAAAAAAGTTTCTATATCAAATTCTTAATCTGAACAATTATTTGCTGGTACCTTAAAACATGCTTAATTTGTCTTTTACCCAACAGATAAATTTCCACACTGCTCGTAAATTTTCTGCGCGGTCCGGGAAGCGCCCCCTGTGCACCAACTGCTCCGGCTCCAGCCTTGCAGATGCGGATGCCACCGCCTTGAGGCCCAGGCTACTCCTCAGACTGAGGACTGTCCCATAAGGATACTGAACTAAGGATAATTCAGAATAAACGTTGAAATCACTCAAGACCAGAGCATGGAAGCAGAGCAGAATATGGATCAGAGGGAGACTGGAGTCAGGGCCCCGTAGTTGGAGTCAGGTACAATAATCAGATGTGGGGGTTGGTACAATGACAGTTAGCCTCTAATGGTGATGGGGTGGATGGGCAGAGGTGAAAGCTGTTTAGGAGGCTGAATCCACATGGCTTTGTCCCCATGTCATCTTGGTCAGTCTCAGAATCTCCTGCCCACACCCCCTTCACTGTCCTCTCTGCATGCCCTTTTTGAGTCCACAGCACATCACCTGAGGCCCTAGATGCAGGCTGTAAAAGTCTCGGGTTTCTTTTGTGCAATGCTGGGCTCCCAGCTAGTCTGTAAGCTGACTAGTGCTGGGCTGATTCTTATAACTAAAATGATTTCTCAATTTAGGATGAGCGGAAATAGAGCTGTGTTCTTTAAACAACGGGCTTCACATTCCTATACAACTAAACTGCAGATTTTAGCCATTCCAGGGGCCTCAGCCCACGATTCAATTCAGCAACCACCACTGTGGGCTGCTTTGTGCTGTGACCTGAGCCAGAGATGGAGTGGACAAGCTCCCTGCCCCTGAGCAGCCCCCAAAGCGACAGGGGTGATAGCTGGTGAACACAGTGATTTCCAAAGGCAGCATGAAAGCTGTGCTCCCAGAGGAGCTAGCAAAGTGTCTGGAAGGGCAGATTTGCTGGGAAGTAGGGGCAGGTGATGTGTGAATGGAATCCTAGAACACTAGGACTGGAAGGGAACTGAAGTAGGGTAGGTTTCTAGGAGAAAGCAGTGTCCGAGCAAGGGCTTTCCCCAGCCACCTGGCAACTCTGTGATCTTAACCTCTCTGAGGTTCAGTGTCTCATCAAGAAAAGGGGGCTAATGATCATAGAACTGTTAAGGGTATTTAGTGAGAGTGTATATATAGCACTTAGCACAATCACTGCCTTAAGGTAAGCAGTGTTATTGCATCATTCAAGGTCCCAGCAGACACCAAATTTGCATTCCTCATTTAGCATTTCAATCACAGGACTGTGATTTATACTTTTTTTGAAACAGAATTTCACTCTTCACCCAGGCTGGAGTGCAATGGCACAATCTTGGCTCACTGCAACCTCCACCTCCCAGATTCAAGCAATTCTCCTACCTCAGCCTTCCCAAATAGCTGGGATTACAGGCACCCGCCACCGCGCCTGGCTAATTTTTGTATTTTTAGTAAAGACGGGGTTTCATTATGTTGACCAGGCTGGTCTCAAACTTTTGACCTCAGGTGAACCACCCACCTCAGCCTCCCAGAGTGCTGGGATTATAGGCGTGGGCCAGGCCTGTAATTATACTTTAACCCTTTTCCTAGTATCTCTTTATTTCCTACATTGTCTGTGGAAATGCACTATTTTTAGCCAGGCATGGTGGCATGCACCTGTAACCCCAGCTACTCAGGAGGCTGCGGCAGGAGAATCGCTTGAGCCTGGCAGGCGGAGGTTGCAGTGAGCTGAGATTGTGCCACTGCACTGCACTGCAGTCTGGGTGACAGAGTGAGATCCTGTCTTAAAAAAAAAAAAAAAAAAAAAAAAAAAAAAGAAATGCACTTTTTGTTGGTGTCATCGCCAGCTGAGCTTTGCCACAAAACCCCAGAAAACCTTAATTACTTGGTAAGATTCTGGACCATAGTCCAGAATCTGGGAAGATGGAGGTCAAGCTGGTCTCGCATGCTTCTGCTGCTAAGAGGCCTAGAAGGGGAAGCAAATTAAGGTGAAAACACTAACCTATACAAAGTCCTGGCAGCTTGAAGTTACTCGGTTCCATGAAGAACAGAGTAAGCACTTCCTTCAGAATCCATTAGGCTCCAAATTCCTTTTAATCTGGAGATTTGGCCTAAAACAGCTTTGGCAAACATGCATTGATTTCACCACATGCCCACATAAGGAATGCAGCCTAATGACCAAGAACACAGGTGGCATGAGTTTCAGCCCCTTTACCTCTGAAGCCTCTAGCCCTTTTGTTGTTGTTAGTAAGTTAACATTTGGCTGTTCTGTTATAAAGCTGACTAGAGGCTGGAAGGAACAGAAGTGCCAGACTTGAATAGGGAGTTGAGGATTGGATTCAAAGTTTGCTTCTGTTATTTATCCATTTCATGAGCTCAGGGAAATCACTTTCTACTTTCCCATCCCAGTTTCTCCATCCTATAAAACAAAGGAGCTAGATTTGATAACCAATTTTGCTTCCACCTCTGAAATTCTATCATTTAATCAGAAATTTCAGCATGCTGCGATAGTGTGAAAAATTGGTCCCATTCTCTCAGACCCCAGGATTTCCATGATTTCGAGTATCTATCTTTTTACATAATTGTTATTTGTTTAATCATGTAAGTGGGACAGATGCCCTACATGTTCATGTTAATATCCTGGTTTTTTTTGAGACAGGGTCTCACTGTGTCACCCAGGCTGGAGTGCAGTGGTGCAATCATGGCTCACTGCAGCCTCGACTTCCCAGGCCCAAGTGATCCTCCCACTTTAACCCTTCTAGTAGTTGGGACTACAGGCATGTTGCCACCATGCTTAAGTTTTAGCAGATACAAGGTCTTACTATGTTTCCCAGGCTGATCTCCTGAACTCAAATGATCCTCCTGCCTCAGCCTCCCATAGTGGTGAGATTATGGGCATAAGCCATCATGCCCAGCCGTATTAAACAAAATTAAGAATAAAATAAGAGAAAATCTATAATTTGTCTATCAAGATATTTTGATTTGCATAATGCATTTAAGTCCTGACAACATGAGGATACCCCATGATAACATTTATAGATAAGGTAATGGTTGAAAAGAAAATCAGGAAATCCAAAATATTTGTTACTGCAAGCAATTTTAATACAAAAGTGTCTTGTTTTTAAACAGTTCATTGGTAGAGCTTCAGTTTCTGCCTCAATTAAAACCAATTGAGATAATCACACAGCAACGTGGTCGGAGCTGAAGAACAGCAGCTAAAAAAACGGGAGCCCTAGACAGCCCCTCTTCATGGTCACTTGGTCAGTTGACTTTATTACGCACAAAAAAAGACGAAAGCAAACGGGACTGGTTAACAAGTGTGCTGGTGAACTCCATTAAAGGACGGGCAAGTGTGTGTCTTACGTCCGCATTTTCAGAACAGGCTCGTGGAATTCATTCCTCAGTCTATGGGAAGTTGATCGACCATTTAAATAAATAGCAAAAAAAGTAGATAAAACAAATCTGTAATTCACAATGCCACCAAGGAGCCTATCCCTCGCG